GGTTTTCGTTTGTTATATATATATATATATATATATAAAGAAAACACCTTTCCAAACGTTTATTCCTGGAAATGTCCCACATTTTCATGAATAACAACTGTATCAACAAAAAGACAGATGTTAAACAACTGAGTGTCATTTACTCATATTTGCTAAACTGCGAAAAATTGGAGAACTTACATATCTCCCCAAATTTTGACTCTTCACAACCATAAATAGAATCTGTATCTTGGTCGATTCCACCAGTAAATTTCATTCCACTCAAATTCTAATAATTCTCTTCCCACGATTTAATAATAATTGTTAATTTAATTTCCCATTAATTATAATATAGTTTATTCAACTGCCTCTGGTCGGTTTAACAATTTCTTACATAACATTCTGAAAATCACATCATCTGAAGTGATTTGGCAACGTTGGCACACGCCCACAATTTGTTCCATCCTTCTACACAGACATTGACAACCTTCGGCCTTCTGTCAAATGGTTCATTTCACTCATTATTCCATGACCACCATTTTGTGCAATCATCAAGTGGCTTCACGATGTAATGCTTTAATGTTTTTAAATAATTTTTAATCTGTTTTTAACTTGTTCTTGTCATATTTTATATAATTTTGACCATTGTACCATCTATCCAGCTCTCACCATGTTACTGGACGTTTCCCTCATCCTATACGTAAACAACAATTAGCAACATCCTCACATACTACTGTAAGTTGAGTCAATTTAAATTTATTTTACACTATTGTTGCTACTGTTTTTTTTTTGTTTCACTTTATGACACACAGACTGTGTAAATAAAACCATTGTACTATGTATTGCTCTCTAAATGGTAATAATGGCAATAAATGCTTTATTATTAAATGACTATACCCGCTTGTTTGCTTTCCGATTATCTGTCTCCAGAACTACTAGACCTATAACATACTGATGATCTGCGAATGAGCACGAAACAGTGCAATATGCGGTTGGTGCGTAGTTAGAGAGTCGGGAAGCAAGCATGTCCATTTCAAGTGTCGAGTACATGAATCTGGTTCAGTATTTCACTGAGATTGGCGGAAGAACAACAAAAGTCCCATTTTCCTACTACTTTGTGAAGGCTATATTCAATTCATATTGAGAAATTTCAAAGACAGAAAATTCCATGTGCTGCTAATGTCCAAGACCGTGAAACGCAGCAAGCAATCAAAGCACATTTTTTGGCTTATTCTGGTAGTAGTGGTAATTTGATCCCTCACAGGTGATACGAGAACCACTTAAGATGATTTACACACCTACATGTTGTGTGACTGCTCCGTGATGCATTATGCGATTGATTTCTGTGCGCGAACATTTGTTTGTGTAAGCGCACAGACATACGTTCTTTAGTTTAGTCTCACCATTTCGAACATGCGTGTCACTGTCAGTGTGTTAACCCACCTACCATACCACAATTTGAGTTTTCTTTGTTGGTCTTCGTAAACGTTATGGTAGTCATTACTGAAATGGGGTAATAGGGGGGTCAAAACAAGTCAAAAAGCTTATATGACCCATGGTCCAAAAGTCAATAGATTTTTGTCTAAATGGCTTTATAGTTTACAACATTAAGTGCTTTATATCGACCACAATCTTACTAATTTTTATAATCTAATCTAAAACGTTTTTAAATTGGATAATTAACAAATAAATGGCATTAAGTTTTTCTAAGTTAAGCCAAATTTGTAGTCAGTAGGTTTCATTAAATTGAATATTTAAAACACACATGACAGCAGCGCGTCGGTCATCATCACTCTTATCGAACCAGCAATCGATCGCAAACGGTAACAGTGGTTAGTATGTTGTTTTGTTTTTGTTCGCGTACGTCGTCATCTTGATTAACTAACAATGTGCTCGAATCAAGAGTTCGCCAACATGTTGTTAGTTTACGGTGAAGCTCGTCAGAATTCAAACCTTGCAGCTCAAATTTATTGCGACAGATTTCGCCAACGGGTACACCCAGACAGAAGGACATTTGTGCAAGTGTACCAAAGACTTCGAGATACAGGAAGTGTTCAGCCCACTAATATTCACACTCGTGAAGGACAGGTTACTGTAGAGCAGGAGGAACAAATTTTAAATATCGTGGAAATCAATGCATATATCAGCACTAGGCCGCCGCATACCATAGTCCATAGAATCCTACGGGAAATTTTGCTTTACCATGTACACCGAGTGCAGGCCTTGTTACCAGAAGACTACCCTCGTAGACTAACATTCTGTCAGTGGTTTTTGCACAAAATGTTGAAAATCCGGATTTTTAAAAACATTCTAGCGACGGACGAATATACTTTTACGCGAGACGGGATATTAAATTTCCATAATACTCACACGTGGGTCCAAGAAAATCCTCATACCATTCGTGAAGCTCGTAATGAAGCTTGTGTGGAAAGTGGAGGACGACATTTTGAACACCTTTAAATACAAAAAAAAAGTGCAGTGTGGGTTTTAAAAAGAAAAACAGTGTATGTATCAAAATTGTGTTCCCTATTTATAAGTAGATTTTTTAATACGTTCAATAAACTTTCACACACCAGGTGAAGCGCTGAGACAGTTAATGGTAAGTCCGTTTTTTTAATTGTTTGAATTTTATGAGTACATTATCAAATAATGAAATAATATCTAAGAGCCAAAATAACAAACTCAATCTTTATTACACTGCGTGCCGTCGTAATTTGCGTCTGGCATTGCGGCGTTGTCAGATTTTATTTTACTTAAAAGTCGCTTTTCTCTAAAAAAAAAATCCGTTTTGACCCCCATGTTATATGAATCTTTTTGCTTCTTTTAAGCCCCTCTATCACCCATTTAAATAATGACTATCATAACGTTTACACCCTGTATAAAGCATATGGATGACTGAATAACAATTTTAAGACAATATCGTCAGTTTTTGCTGAAGCAATGGAGTTTCAGAAGTGAATGAAAGCAATGGTCCTTTATTATTCAATTCATGCGTGCAAGAACAGATGCGTTGAAGATCGGTTTGCACTGCGTGTAATTTTCTCAGGCATGTTAAGCTCCATACATCGTTAGTCGATCTGATTACTTATATCGTATGATATTGATGACTTAACCGACAAAAACGTGAAATGCGGCAGCACACAGCTATAACAGGGTGACTTTGAAGTTGAGTCATTAATTTTCAGATAATGATTGTAGAAGAAAGACCAAAATATGTGTGTAAAAATAAAAAAAAATTATAAAAAAATTTTTACCTTGTTTTATAAAGTATCCTCCCGACAAATATTTCAGTGCGGACCTGTTGATCGTGAGGTCTTGGAGCACCGGCATGCCGTCACCTGGTTCACGAGCCCGTTGTACTACATTAACAAAGGCACGAGGGGTTGGTTGCACTCGATTGGGAAACCGATCCGCATAAACATGTGCCATTTTTTATTTCGTTTGAGCCACGCAACAGACAACACTATTCACTGACACTGACTGTATACAAATGAATAAAATAATTGTAAAAACATCGTTCCAAATTCTTTCGCTTTTTGTTTCCGATGCGATA